CGCCACTCTTTTTTTTCGACATAGAATTGTAATGTATAAGGACTTATCGTTAGTTGCTCAGCTGATTGGAGAGTATATTGAGTTTATTGATAACATTGATGTAGTTTATATTTTAGTTTTTTTTTATCAGTTTACTATATGGTATTCATTATATAGTGTAGTGTATACCCAGTAATTTTATGTTAATAGCTCAACTTATTGAAGAATATATTGAGTACATTTATTATATTGATGTAGTTTATACTTAGTTTTTTCACATCGGTTTATTGTATGATAGTTGGGTAGTTGCAGTCCTTTAGCGTCAAAATACTAAATGCCTCTGTTGATGTGTAAACATTGACTTTAACATAGCTTTTTCCGTGACCAGTTACATGCTAATCCCTCACATTAACATCATGCTAATCTCCCAGTTACATGCTCACTTCTGACTTTAAAACCCTGCTGATCCAACACTTTAACACAGCTATTTCAATGCTAAATTATCCTGTTGATATGTAAACTCCTTTGTCAAGGCGCTCTGCTCATCCCACCTAGCTTAACACATGCTGCGAAGCTTAGCAGCGTTCATTGAAGCACTGTCGTCCCGACAGTTCTGTTCCTTCACCTGAAGAAGGCTACTTGTGTTGTGGCCGAAACGTCGTAATAATTTTATTTTATTATGTTTTATTTTTATTATTTTATTTCCATTCTATGTGACTTTGCCGAATGAACCAAGAAGATGAATCTCTGCAGTCACGAAAGCTTTAAATCGAAATTTAACTGCCTCTACCGGGATGGATTCTACATAACCTTGAGATCCTTTAACAAACTCTGGGATAAGAAGGCTAAGCTAATCGAGTCTCTCACCTTTCTAAAAAGATGCCGCGACTCTAAGGTAATACCAATCGCATTTACACTAGCCTCTGCTGCTGTAACTTATTTTAATGCAAAACGAATTCAATCTAGAACTAGCTTACACGCAACAAACTAGATCAGTTAGTCAAGACACTCTACAAATCACACTTATCATTGACGGCAACAATGTCCACATCGGATTGGGAACATGTAGACAATATGACTGCCTCTTCAGCTTACACTATGTCGACCAAATGTAAGGACAATTTGATTTCCAAATTCAACCGCCTTTCCAAAAAGAAATCGGACCCACACACCGAAAAGCTAGACGTTAACAAAGTCGTAATTAATCGCACTAACAGTTCTATTTCTGATGGTCTGAAAGCCGTTTTAGTTAAAGGGCTGAACTTTGCAGTCACACCTATACACATATCAGTTAATTATATCATTGCCCATGTCGACGTGGCACTCAAGGGCCTGGGTCACATCGCTGCAGACGTAGCAAGATCTGAAATCACTGCAACCCTCACAAACGCTAAGATGCCACCTAGCAACATCAGCAAAGATGAGCGCTTTGAATTATCTCAATTAAAAAGAGAGATGACATTGTCATCCTCTCAGCCGACAAGGGCAATGCCACTGTCATCATGGACAAAATAGAATATAACAACAAAATTCAGGAACTACTCAACGATGGAAACTATACAAAAATAAGAAGAGACCCCACCAACAGCCTCGTTACTAAAACCAACAAAATAATTTCTGATTCAACAGCATTAATTGATCAAACCAAACAGTTCTCGTTGAAACCTTCTGCGGCCAGGCCACCAAGATTATATGGCCTTCCAAAGATACTTAAAGAAGATACACCCCTTCGTCCCATCGTCTCTACTATCAACTCCCCCACCTACAAACTGGCTCGTTTTCTGTCTGAAATCCTGCGACCTTTTACTGGAAAAACCACCTCTGTGGTACTAAACTCTACTCACCTTGTATCGACAATCAAGGGTAGTTCCCTGTCCCCAGACGACCTGCTTGCCAGTTTTGATGTGGTTTCCTTATTCACCAAAGTTCCTGTACCTGACAAAATCGCAATCATTGAAGACTTGGTTCATCAAGGACTGAATACTGATGTACCCCCCCGGGTGAGACACTGCTTAACTAACACATACTTCACCTGGAATGGGACTTTCTACAAATAAACTGAGGGCACCCCAATGGGCTCCCCCCTATCGCCGGTTGTAGCCAACGTTTTCATGGAGAAATTTGAAACTGACGCCATCCACTGCCACTCTGCGCCCGACCTTATGGAAGAGGTACGCAGATGACACTTTTGTCATCTGGCCACATGGCCGGCCTGCTCTAGACCAATTCCTCGACCACATCAATTCCATACACCCAGCCATCAGATTTACCATGGAAGTCGAAAAAGATGGCAAGCTACCCTTTTTGGATGTCGTAATTAAAAGGAGATCTGATGGTTCAATGAGCCACTCTGTCTACAGGAAACCTACCCATACGGATGCTTACTTAAAACCGGATTCTCACCACCATCCATCCCAGAAGAATTCCCTCATCAAGACTCTATGCCAGAGAGCTCAATGCATTTCCGACCAGGAACACATTGCCATTGAACTCAATCACGTACACCAAGCTCTCAAGGCTAATGGTTACTCCGACTACACAATCCACAAAGCCATCACACATGCCATGAAGAAGGATCCTCTTGAGGAGCCATTCAAAACCATCACCTTACCCTACATTGCGGGGGTCACAAAAAATATCTCCAAAATCCTGAATAAACACAAGATCCAAGTCCGATTCAACACAGTACATAAAATCCGTGATCTGGTTCCGTCTGTAAAGATGTGGTTCCAGACATACAGTACCCGGGCGTCTACAAACTAAGATGCCTCTGTGGTAGCAGCTACATTGGAGAAACGAAACGACATATCTCGGACCGCATCCGTGAACATAAAGCAAACTTGAAACACGGTAGGACCAACACCTCGGCCGTGGCAGATCACTGTTATAATTTAGTAGACTCACATGACATTGACTTCTCCAAGACGGAAGTTCTCTGCAAGCCATCCGGCTACCATGAGAGATTCGTTCATGAGGCCATCCACATATACAAACACAGAGACAATTTCAACCGAGAAGATGGATTCTGGCTTAGTAACCATTGGAAAGACGTTATAAACAATTTCGGTTCTTAATTGATTGCATTTTATGGTGACTTTCAGACCGCAGTCAATTCGTTGGCACTGCCTCTTAATACCTTTCACACGACGGTCAATGGTATGGTTTATAGCATGTTGTATAATAATAATAAATAGTATAACAGTGTAATATTTAACATAATTCATAAGGCAATATATAGTATCGTATTTGTATAGTGAATATACAGCAGTGTGGTATACAGTAGGGTTGGTAAAATAATACAAAGTGTAATATTACAAGTCTAATATTTTACAGTCTAAAGTATAGGGTAGTGTATAGTAATGCATTGTACAATTCAAAGGTGGGTTTGTCTATGGTAGTGTATATTACGGTGTATAGTCGTATAATGTAGAAAAAAAGTTTAGTTGGAGACATATCAATATAATGCATAATGTTAGAGCTGCGTATACGATTTTATACAATGTAGTTTAGATTGGAAGGTATAACATTGCAATGTATAGTAGTCTTCTTTATAACATAGTTGTAACGCAACACAGGACAGAGCAGCGCATCGTGGCTGTTTCTCCCCCCTCCTCCGTTCCGAGCATAGATGGACTCGTCCGCCTGAACAAAGCTCGTCGCTTTCCGTGGTGCTAACGTTGAAAATAAAAAAACGCCACTCTTTTTTGTCAACATAGAATTGTAATGTATACCGACTTATTGTTAGTAGCTCAGCTGACTGGAGAGTATATTGATTTTATTGATAACATTGATGTAGTTTATATTTTAGTTTTTTATCAGTTTAATATATGGTATTCATTATATAGTGTAGTGCATACTCAGTTACTTTATGTTAATAGCTCAACTTTTTGAAGAATATATTGAGTTCTCCATGCATACTTCATGCTGATTTGTCCCATTGTCTCTCAGCTTTACCTTCTCTGCTTATTTAAGGCGACTTCACTGTGTGCTTGTCTCTGTGCTTGTTCGCTCTACTTGGATGTCTGTGTGTGTGTGCGTTCTGCATTTTTGAGTTTCATATACTTAACTTGCAATTTAGCAATCTTTGAAATAGCGTGATCAACTGGACTATGCGTTAATTGTGTTTTGACCGACCGTCTGTGTTGCTATATATGGTTTCCAAATTTTGCTAAACCCTGTCTGTTTGGTATGCTTCTCTCTCTGTGTCCCCTGTTGTATCTGTTAGCCCCCCCTACTTGGGTGTCTGTATATACATCTGAGGTTATGTGTTTCCCCCTCTCGTAAATTTAGCTCTTCTGTACTTGATGATGGCTGCTTGTGTTTCAACCGAAACGTCGTACGCTATTATGTTATTTTATTATTTCTTATTTATACGCGACTTTACTGAAAAAAACAACGAGTACATTTATTATTTTGGTGTAGTTTATACTTAGTTTTTTCACATCGGTTTATTGTATAATATTTGGGTAGTTGCAGTCCTTTAGCGTCAATATACTAAATGCCTCTGTTGATATGTAAACTCTGACTTTAATATAGCTATTTCCGTGACCAGTTACATGCTAATCCCTCACATTAACATCATGCTAATCTCCCAGTTACATGCAAATTTCTGACTTTAACACGCTGCTAATCCAACACTTTAACACAGCTATTTCAATGCTAAAATATCCTGTTGATATGTAAACTCCTTTGTCAAGGCGCTCTGCTCCTCCCACCTAGCTTAAAAGACGCTGCGAAGTTTAGCAGCGTTCATTGAAGCGCTGTCGTCCCGACAGTTCTGTTCCTTCACCTGAAGAAGGCTACTTGTGTTGTGGCCGAAACGTCGTGATAATTTTATTTTATTCTGTTTTATTTTTATTATTTTATTTCTATTCTACGTGACTTTACCGAAAGAACCAAGAAGATGAATCCCTGCAATCACGAAAGCTTTAAATCGAAAGTTGTGAGGATTGTTTACGCTCAGCCCCTCCGTTGTGATAGAGAGCCACGCAGCCTTTAGCCACCGACAGCCACCAGCCAGTCAAGGGCGTGGCGCTGCGCGTGACGGTGACGAGGGTGGCGAGCGCAGTGCGTCGTGGCGTCTGCCCTCTGCGCTGTTCACGTTCACTTCTCTCAGGACGCACCACTCAGATCCACAATCCTCACCGAGTCCCCCACCCACAGCCCAGGGTGTAAGGGCTGAGTGAATGTTTGGTGAAACGAGTGCAACGGCGCCATGGAGTCGGCGTTGTAAAACGACAGCAGCCCCGCGTCCCAGTCCAGGTGGACCCCAACTCTCCGCGGAGGCTGCGGCACCGACAGTGATGTCTCTACCCCGCCATGCAGCACTGAGAAGCTGTCGCCAAGTTTCTGTAGACACCAGGAGACGTCACTCTCTCCCAGGAGGCACTCAGCACCAAGCCCTCTCCGTGGGATCGTCGCATACGCGACTCCAACCAGACACTCATCCGTGCTCCCCACGTCCACCTCCCAGTAGTGCTGACCCGACGAGAAGCTCTCAGAGCACAGCGCTTGCCGCCAGCACTCAAAGCGGTGTGGGTGATGGGGGCGACCCTGGGGGACATCGCTCCACGTTGCCTTCCTGAGATCCGAGGAAATCTGGAGGTGGTCGCAGGCTGAGTTTGTGTCCAGAGTTGGTGATCGTCCATCTGTGGTGAGTTTTAGTGTACACATACTAATATTAGTTAGTATTAGTGTACAGATACTAATATTAGTTAGTTTAGTGTACCCACACTAATATTAGTTAGTTTTAGTGTACATACACTAATATTTGTTAGTATTAGTGTACATATACTAATATTAGTTAGTATTAGTGTACACAAACTAATATTCGTTAGTATAAATGTACACATACTGCAATCACTTGTGAATAATGAGTTAATTATAATAAATAATAACCATTAATTAATAATAAAAGTGCTACACTAACTTGACCATGGGTGTGTGCAGTGGTAGTGAGCAGCTGTGATGATTCCAGCACGACGATGTTGACGCCAATCTCACATCCACACACAGACATTGTGTGTCACAGTCTCGCACAAACTCACACCCAAACACACAGACATTGTGTGTCACAGCCTCGCACACTCTCACACCCACACACAGACATTGTGTGTCACAGTCTGGCACACTCTCACACCCACACACAGACATTGTGTGTCAAAGCCTCGCACACTCTCACATCCACACACACACATTGTGTGTCACAGCATCGCACACTCTCACATCCACACACAGACATTGTGTGTCACAGCCTCGCACACTCTCACACCCACACACACACATTGTTTTTCACAGTCTCGCACACTCAACAACAATAACAACCGCCATTCGCCTCTAAGTGGCGGTGACGTCACCACGACGCTTGTGCCAGGCTATGTGCACCCTGAGGCCACGTGAAGTGTCGAACGCCCGCTGGCAGGAGGTCACGGGGCAGACCCAGGTGCCACGGGTCGACTGACTGAGATGACTGGCTGATGCACCACCTGTGCCCCCTACTGTGCCAACCTGCTGTGCTTTAGCCACCCGGCGCTCCGCTCGTTGTTGTGAGCGTCGCTCCTCCGCCCTACGTTGTTGTTGGAGGGCGACTACCTCCAACTGCCAAGTAGCGTCCTTCACGAGCCTCCTCCACAGAGGCCGATCTTGACACCGCTGGTACCAGTCATCGGCAAGTCCACTCAGCTCCACGTCCTCCTGTACCACATCACTCCATCTCTTCTCTAGCCCGTGCCGCGCCCGCTTAGCCCCCTCGATCCGGCCGAACAAAAGCTGTTTCGGCATGCGGTGGCTGGGCATGCGGGTTACATGACCCAGCCATCGCAGCCTTCCCCGCCGGAGGAGCTCACCAATGGGACCATGCCCAGATCTTTCAAGGATTTGTGAGCTCCTCACACAATCCAGTCTGGTTAAACCCAGGATGGATCGTAGGCAGGCCAGCCTAAATGTTTCTAACCGGCGAAGATGTTCCATTAGGGGGGTCCACGTTTCGCAAGCGTAGAGAAGGGAGGGAATGACCGTGGAGCGACAGACCAGGTATCTTCCACACAGCGTTACGCAACCGTTGAAAAGATATTGCCGCTCGACTGATTCGGAGTGAGACCTCTGCTGTTAAATTGGAGCCGGTCATAAGCACACTGCCCAGGTATGGGAAACTCTCCACTCTCTCCACAACTGACCCATCACCGATTGGGAGTTGTGGGGGTGAAGTGTCCGATGGTACAAAATACCCAGGCAGGTGCTTAGTTTTGGTGGGGCTGATGGTAAGGCCCCACCTCTTAGTAGCACGCTCCAGTCTCAGCAGCAGCGTCTCCAACTCCTCCTCTGAATGAGCAGCTATTACTAAATCATCAGCATACATAACGTGGTTGAGCAATAGGGAGCCATCCCTTGACCGCACCCGGGCATCGATCAGCCTCCCATTATATCTGTACCATATGGAGATTCCCCTGGTACAGCTATTGAAGGCTTCACGAAATACGTGGTCAAAATAGATATTAAATAATGAGGGAGCCAGAGGACATCCCTGTCGCACCCCAAGGTGTACAGGGAATGGCTCTGACTCCCGGCCACGTAGTTTTACCCGGGCCCGCTCACCACCATGAAGGTCCTTAATGATCGTGAGCAGAGGGTCAGGTACTCCAAAAGCACGATGAACATCCCAGAGCCCAGGCCTACTGATGGTATCATAGGCCTTGACCAGGTCAATAAAGCAGAGATGTAGGTCTTGTTGGAATTCCCTACACCTCTGCTGTAGCAGACGGACAGAAAATATGGCATCTGTGCAGGACCGCCCTTTCCTGAAACCGCATTGGGGCTCCGCAAGCCTCTCCTCTGCGTGCCTGGCAAGGCGATGCTGAATAATCCTTGCCAGGACCTTTCCCGGCACACTGAGGAGTGAGATGCCCCTGTAGTTGTTACAGTTTGTGCGGTCCCCATTCTTAAAAAGGGGGACCACCAGGGCATCCTTCCAATCCTGCGTAACCCGTCCAGTGGTCCAAACCGTTGTTATGATGTCATATAGGGCAGTCTGTGCACAAACGCCACCCTCCCTCAGCATTTCGCTTGGGAGATCATCTCTGCCCGCTGCCTTTCCTGGTCTCAGACTCCGGATTGCCTTCAGTACTTCCTCAACAGATGGCACCTCAGCCAGCCACTCACAGGGGGTGACTTTTTCCAATATTTGAGGCACCGCAGCCTCAACAGGGTCATCCTCACTTTGTGCCACGATGTTTTCCTGGCTGAGGGATTTTCCCTCCCCCAGGACCTCACAGAAATGCTCAGCAAATCTGCAAACCTGTTCCTGGGGGTCGGAGATTGGATCACCGTTTTTTCCCCTAATGATGGTAATAGGTGTGGCGCTGCAGGTTACTTTTTTGATGGAGTTAAATAGAGACTTGTGATCACGGGCCACTGAGGCAGACTCCATCTCCTCAGCAACCCGCGACCACCACCCATCCTCGCAGCGCCTCACGGCTCTCCGAACCTCCCAGCGAAGGCTGCGGTAAGCCTCCTCATTCTCTGACGTAGGATTCTGTAGCCGATGACAGTGGGCCTGTCGCTTTTTCTCAACCATCCTGAACACCTCCTCTGTCAGCCAGGGTCTCTGGGGAGGTCTGGACTGCGTACCCAAAGCAGCCATTGCAGCTGCATGAGTCACAGTCCTAAACCTCGCCCATTTACCCTCGACATCAGGAGGAGTCGGGGACGATGCCAATCCCAGCCGCAAGTGATGATGAAATTCTCGCTTGCAACTTTCATCAGATAACTGAGACCAGGCTACTTTAGGTTGGAATGGGGTCCTGGGTGTACACCCACCACCGGAGTGGAAGAATGCCAGGCGCATCTTACAGATGACTAGTCGATGGTCAGAGGGCAGATCAGCTCCACGGTAGGTCCTGGTGTCAAGGACATGGGCTCTCATCCGCTGGTCCATCACTATGTAGTCCAGCAGATGTTCTTGCTTGGACCCGGCATGCATCCATGATGTTGTGTGGATGCGCCGATGCTGGAACAGCGTGTTGGTAATTATAAGCCCATGGGCTGCACACTATCACACTTACACACAGACATTGTGTGCCACAGCCTCGCACACTCTCAGACCCACACACACACATTGTGTGTCACAGCCTCGCACAGTCTCACATCCACACACAGACATTGTGTGCCACAGCCTCGCACACTCTCACACCCACACACAAACATTGTGTCACAGCCTCGCACACTCTCACACCCACACACAGACATTGTGTGTCACAGCCTCGCACACTCTCACACCCACACACAGACATTGTGTGTCACAGCCTCGCACACTCTCACATCCACTCACAGACATTGTGTGTCACACCTTCGTACACTCTCACATCCACTCACAGACATTGTGTGTCACAGCCTCGCACACTCTCACACCCACACACAGACATTGTGTGTCACAGCCTCGCACACTCTCACATCCACTCACAGACATTGTGTGTCACTCCGCTGCTGGATGAGCGCCTCCCCACGCCGTGCGCGTCCTGGGAGTTATTTGACCATACTTCACCAATCTCGTCGGGGCGCGTTGGCGATGGTGTGGATCGTGAACGTAGAATCGTGGAGGTACAGTACAACAATGGTTCACGCTGCACTGCCCTCTGCTGGTGTGATGTGTAAACATTCGGCACTAGGGATACAAAGGCGGCCGGGCGTGGTGCTGGCCACCCACTCCCTCGTGTGCCGTGCCGGCATTCATAGGTGGTGCTACTGGCTGACAGCACTTGCCCTAGTACCCAGCAGTAGGGTTTAGAAGATTATTTAAAATGTTAAACAAATTTTATTTCACCAGGTAGGGCCCACTGATCCATGTCGCTCTCTTTCAGAGTCTGCGTCTCTCCCCCGTGGTAGCGTAGATTTTTCCCTGGCTACTCGCGTTTTTCCCTCCACGTTTAGAATCAATTGGCATTCAGAGGATTTGGTTGCTGCTGTAAATACCCACGTGATGAGCCACTTTTCGTAGAGCTGTCATTTGTGATAGGTCGCTTGCGACAAAAGAGCGACAAGGTTCAGTGGGTACCTTACCTGGTGAAATAAAATGTTGTTGAAGGTGGGGAGCACAGAAGTGCAGTGCAACAGAGTGGGACATTGCGGGTGCAAGACTGAGAAACTCACAAGCGAAAGGCAGGAATCTGTTCACGACCATTTCAAGGGAGCAGATTGTGGTGACGTCCAGTGAAGTGGGACATGGGGGTGCAGATTCCTTTGGGATCTCTCTCCTGGGACAACCACCAACAGCATCACACGCAGCCTTGTTTAACCATAGCATTGGAACACTCAGCATCCATATCACACATTGCAAGTGTCTAACACGCAGCCCCTGTCTCACACACAGCCCGTGTCTAACACACAGCCCGTGTGTATAACACACACAGCTTGTGTGTCTTACACACACAGCCCGTGTGTCTAACACACACATCCTCTGTTGTGAGTGTTTAACCGTGAGACATTGAGGATCTGTACCTGCGCGTCTCCTCCAGGTGCCCCTGTGGAAGAGAGAGAGATCATGAGTGACGTCTCTAACCTTGCACCACGAGACCCTCTGCCACTGCCCGCTCTGTTGTTCTGGACACCCAAACGGCATCTCCACAGAGGCGCTCCCCACCTGCAGGAAGGTGAACGAGTCCCTCTCGTGCTGCAGGGTGCGCAGGCGAGCGGCCGCCGCCTGGAGCTCGCCGATCTCCCGCTTGTGACGAGCGATGTCCTCGTCTATCCGGGACAGCAGCTCGCGCTCCTTCACGGCCACGCGTTGGAGAGCCTCCTTCTCGTCCTCGTCCAGAGCCTTCTTTAGACGGGCGAACTTGCCCGTGATGCGACCCCTGATCCCGGCCACCGATTCCTGCGGAGACGCGAGGACCACGGTTGCCCCCCTGAGCCATGAGCCACTCCGTGTGTGCGTGTGGGCGCCGTGGTGGCCTGGAGATGTTTACTCCCTCGCCTGGTGTACAGCAGGTCGGGGTTCGATCCTGATCCTGACGCCTGTATATTTGGAGTTTGTTCTCCCTGTAGTCGTATGGATTTTTCTCCGGGTCCTCCTGTTTTTGCCTCAACATTTAGGGTCAACGTCGCACATTTAGAGTATTTGTCTGCTATCAAAATCCACGTTACAATCAGCCACTTTGTTGAGCTATAATTTGTAGTAGCCAGGTCGCTTCTGAAAAAAGAACTATGTAGCTCAGTGGAGCCGTTCCTGGTAAAATAAAAATTAGTTTAGTCTATGGGTCTCTACGGGTCTCTCGGCCTCTCTCGGGGTCTCTCTATATGTCTCTGTTTATTTGTGTGTCTCTATGGTGTCGAGGTATCTCTATGGGTCTAGTATGTATATGGGTGTCTATGGATCGATCTGGGTCTCTTTGTATATTTTGCTGCTGCTATACATTTCCACATGATAATGGTGATATCAGCAATTTGATTGATCTGTAATTTGTGATTGCCAGGTCGCTTCTGAAAAAGAGCTACACAGCTCAATGGGCCTTTCCTGGTAAAATAATAAAATAGTATTCCCTAGTAGTGAATCATGCCCCAGTGACGAGGCGCCCATGGGACTAAGTCGATCCATGCCAAGGGGGCAAGAGGGGCACCGCTCTCTTCTTGTTTCTCCCCTAGAGGGGGCTGGGGTCGTGGATGTTGAGACTCGGGCACTCGGAGTACGGTGGGGGCCCCCTCGTGGGTCCGACGAGATGTGGCGAGATGTTAACTACCTCGCCTGGTGTACAGGGAGTCGTGGGTTCGATCACGACCCTGATGCCTGTGTGGATTTTTTCTCCGAGTCCTCCGGCTTTTCCCTCCACATTTAGAATCGGAGTAATCCAGGTAGAGTTTTCTCACAAGTCCGACTCGGGTTTATAATCCAAGGCATTCCTTATCTGTTGTGCACAACCCACAGAGCCCAAGAGAGCATCTCCGGGTTCAAGCAGCGTTTAGAGTACAGTATTTAGAGTATTTGGCTGCTATCAACTTCCACCTGTTAAGCCATTTCATTGACCTATCATTTGGGAAATTCAGGTTCCATCTGCAAAAGAGTTGCAAGGCTCAGTGGGGCCTTAGCTGATGATGATTGCTTATGTTGCGATCGAAACGTCGTGATATTTTTATTATTTTCTCAACGGTTTTACTTAACTGGACTCCTATGTTTGTCGTGGTCAAATCTTGTAATCACCATTTTGTCTACTTCCTGTTGTGCAATCAATTCCAAATTTCGCACAAGTACACAGATCTGGTGACAATACATGTCTGTATCAAAATGGGCATCAATAAATCAATTAATTGGCTCTTTTAAAGCAATTAACAATTTGTATGGACGGATTATTAATTTAATATCAATTTGTGCAGGTCAAAAACGCCACGGTCCCTAAACTCTGGAATCGCCTCGCCCAAGATGCAGGTGCCACATGTCTCTTGTTATCAAGTTATCGTCCACTTCCCGTTGTCCAATCGAGTTATTTACTTTTACTTTAAAATATAACCGTTGTTTTTCAAAAACTTATTTTAAGGAGTTTATTACTCACTTTATTTTATTTTTTGCTTTTTATTTGTATTATTTTATTGTTATTAAAAATATACATTATCTACGTGACTTTACCGAAAGACCCATGTGTATGCTTTAACTTAGCTATTTCAATGCTAAATTCTATGCTAATTCCTTTGTCAAGGGGTGCCTCTGCGGATGTGTATGCTTTAACTTTAACATAGCCATTTCTGTGACCAGTCACAAGCTAATCACTCAGCCATTTCAATGCTAAATTATATGCTAATTCCGTTGTCAAGGCGCTTTGTATCCTCTCACACAGCTTAAAGGTCGTGATCTGAGCGTGGTTTTTTCACTCCAGCGCTGTCCTACCAGACAGTCTCGTCCCTTCATCTGATGGAGGCCGCTTGTGTTGTGGCCGAAAGGTCGTGAGAATATTATTGTGTTATTTTATTTTATCAATGTATTATTCTACATGACTTTACCGAAAGAACCAAAGAAGATGAATCATTGCAGTCACGAAAGCTTTAAATCGAAATAAAATTTAAATTGTTTAGTCTATGGGTCTCCATGTATCTCTGTGTCCCTATGTATCACTATTTGTCCCAAAGTATCTCTATGGGTCTCTATGTATCTCTATGGGTCTCTATATATCTCTATGGGTCTTCATGTTTCTCTATGTGTCCCTATATATCACTATTTCTCCCAATGTATCTATATGGGTCTCAATATATCTCTATGTATCCCAATGTATCACTATGGGTCTCTTTGTATCTCTATGTATCTCAATGTATCTCTACGGGTCTCTAGGTAATTATTTGGGTATTTTTGTACCTATATTTCTCCCAATGTATCTATATGGGTCTCTATGTATCTCTATGGGTCTCTATGTATCTATATGGGTCTGCTGCTATATTTTCACGTGATGATGATGATGATGCCAGCCACTTTGCTGAGCTGCTATTGTTTGTGACAGCCAGGGTCGCTTCTGAAAAAATCTACACAGCTCAATGGGGCCTTACCTGGTAAAATAAAAATAGTTGTAGATTAGGGACGGCATGAGGTGCAGCTGTGCGGTGTTCGTGTCTCTGCTTCCGTGCCGGTTCCGCGACCTCCAGTGCAGCTCAACAGCTGCACCACAGCTCCACCCCGACAATCCGTGGCAGTCTCGACACTTTTTTTGCCACAGGAGTTGAAGACGCGATGCCGAGTAACCCGACCTCGCGGCAGACTCGCCAATGCGGTTATCGGATGCAGAAAAATGTGGAACCCCCTTGTAGTTAATGTTGAGTTCAAAAGTGAATGATTTAATTAAGACGCATCACAGTTATGAAGCTGCACGAAGTTCGCTTGAATTATTTTTGACCTCCACGACTTCCACACTAGGTGGAGGTCCCGGGGGTCAAAGAGCCCGGCCCGGACACGGTACCTGAGCCTCCTTGCGAGCGGCCTCCATCCGCTTCACGGACTCCTCCGCCTCCTTCCTCTTCTCCTCCACCGCTCGCGTCTCCTCCCCTACGCGAGTCTGTAGTGAGAGACGAGACGTCACCAGGGGGAGACTCCAGCCCCCTGAGCCACCCCTCACACCACCCTTCCCTCCACACCGACCCCTCTACAGGAATGGCCCTCATCTCCACGCTGCCTTTCTATGGCGACTGAGACGGGGGCATGGGGAGTGGGCAAGCTGATGCCTCGTTGTAGCAGCAGCCAGTGGGAGCCGTGCTGGCTTGGTGGCCCTACCGACTCGGACCCAAGAGCCCATGTGCCCACAGCTGTCTCGTTTAGAAGATATATTTGATATAATTGTCTATCAGGTGGATGTGATATTAGTCTCAAATCTCTGTTCACTTAATTTCTTTATACGTCAATTATGTTTGATGAAAGCCTAGGATTTAATACATCCTGAGGCTCTTTTCTGAAATGCAAACCAGAAAATTACCTACACAGGCAGAGAGGCAGAGGTTCAAGAGAGCATGAACACTCGAAAGTTTTTTTTCATCAGATGTTGTGTAGCCGAGTGACAGAATCGATCAGATCATGTTATGGTGTCTCACTCTGAGGGCCTCACCTTCCGTGTCTCGTGCTCGTCCTTCAGCATGGTGACATCATGTCCTTTGTGTTCACCTGCGATGGTGCAAGATGAGCAAACCAGGCTTCTATCTACTGTGCAGTAGAATTCCAGCTCCCGTTTGTGATTACGGCATCTTCTCTCGTCCAAGCTCGCAATGGGATCCACCACGGCGTGGTCTCTCAACCTGGGATTCTCCACGTGAGTCCTAAAGTGAGAAAAACAGTAGGACATCTCACATCTCAGGCAGGTCTTCACTGCAGGAGTGTGGCCGTCACCGCAGATGTCACACATGACGACCGCGGCCATCCCGTCTCCAACTCTGAGCTGCTCCACCAGGTTGGCGAGGGCCACGTTCCTCCTCAGCTGGGGTCGCACAGCGAAGGTCGCTCGGCACTGCGGGCAGCTGAAGCTGCTCGCCGTCTCCCAGGCGGCCTCCAGGCACAGCAGGCAGAACGAGTGTCCGCAGCTCAGTGTGGAGGGGCAGACAAACGTGCCCAGGCAGATGGAGCAGCGCAGCTCACTATCCACACTCTCACTGGGAGTCGCGCTTGCCATGACTCATGGGCTTCACTGGGATCGCTCGCTGTGTTGCTCAGAGAGACTCTGGACCAAGACCTCTCTCTTATAGCGACGGTGAAGAAGGAAGTAAAATTCTTAAAATATTTTCATTGTTGTCACTGACATCACGAGACACTGCTTGGAATGTAAACCCGTGTCCTTGGTGCGCAAACAGCAGCTTCAAGGTTAACATTGTTACAGTACACACTTTGACACGAACAAAATGTATCAAATGAATGTAATATTTTAACAAATATATTAATTTAAAGAAATTAGTGTTGTTGTTGATATAAATCGGTGAGCCTCAGCTGCGGTGGCTCATTCATGAGATGAGTATCGAGAGATAAACTCATCCTTCCAGAGCTCAGCGCACAAGTTGGTGTCGATGGTAAGACAGAGCAATGGATTGGGTGCCACCGTGGCTATATGTTATTTCGCTCGCCTTACGGCTGCTTTATATTTAAAGTTTGCGTCTTTCTCTCTCTCCCCTTGGTCTCGTACCGTGGGGATTTCTCAGATCATCGTTAACCTCCATTTGCCCCGGATTTTATTACTTAATGGCTCTTTATAGCCTCGTCCATCAAGTTTCTTTTAATGTGGCAAGGCAGCAGGGTGTCAGGGGTGGGGTGTGCATCACCCTTTCATTTCCCATGCTCACCCCGATTGATAAGTATTTTAAAAATATGTATATATATTGGCAGAATTTTTCGTAATATCATTTTTTGGGAAAAGGCCTATATATATACAACACCTGCTAATGAAGTTCCACCTAGAGGGAAATTTCCCAGGTGAAATATTTGAATATTGTTGCTACACCCACTGCTTTGAGAATGGTTGTCGTACAAAGGGCAGAAAACTTGCATCGGGGCCAAAAACAAGTCGGCTCAGCTTGTACCAAATGCAATTACATCCGTTAAGGAGCACAGAAATACGCGATGGGAGCAAATGTACTTCCAACAAGGAGAACTCGCCCACCACTTGCATCCCAATTTGATTGTTTTTCAACGGTTTATCTACGTATTATTTATTTGATTTGCGACGTATATATGTCTCGCGCTATATTTTAATTGCGTATGGTTGCACTTTATTTTGCCCATTCAGCATTATCCGCTGCGGTCGTGACGGGATTTTCTTTGTATTATTTTTGTTCTATTCCCTGCTTATTCTATTTTTTTAAAATTCCCAAAATGACATTGCAAATTATTTCCCTTTTCGTTTTTTTACCAGGTAAGAGCCACTGAGCTATTAAGTTAATTCAATGAAGCAACCTGCCTAGCACATATGATAGCACAACGAAGGCTTAAAAAATGGAAATTTACAGCAGCTAATTACTCCGAGCATTTTTTTTATTCTAAATATGGAGTGAAAAACCTGCGGAATCCACATGACCAGAGGGAGTGAGAGAACATGCAAACACCAAATATACAGGCGTCAGGGTCGGGATCGAACCCACGACCTGTTGCACACTAGGCACGGGAGTTAGCATCTCACCACCACGGTGAGATTTTATCTCAATTGTGACTACACACAGCAGCTGCAATCATTGCCTGCTACTGGCAGACTCCTGCCCCAATTTACCCTTGCAGATGAGACTCATTCTGGTCTCTCCAGTTCTCGGCAGGTTAAATTTGAATACCTATTCACGTACCCACCTGGTGACAATCAGAAATGCATCAAGGGGTTTACCGAGGCACAGTTGATGAGGAGGGTTCCAACAATATTTTAGCAGGGGACAGGTGAAGTTACCTGAATAGTTCCAGATATTGTGGGTAAAGAGGCTACTAGAGTAGCCACCAACCTAGATTTACGTAGACACCCACACGTGCACAGACCCATAGAACAGAACGAGTCTCTAAGATCCACTCAGAGGAACCCGTAGACTTGTGGAGACCCGTTGACGAACGCTGCACTGGAGCAGCAGCGCATGCTGGGAGAAAGGAGTTATTGGAGTGGAATGAGCAGGCTGGAGTAAGGGTGGTTGGCTTCACTCGGATCGCTCGCTGTGTGGCTCAGAGAGACGCTGGACCAGGACCTCTTTCTTATAGCGATGGTAAAGAAGGAAGTAAAATACTTAGAATATTTGCATTGTCGTTATTGACATGATGAGACACTGCCTGGAATGTGAACCTGCATCCTATTTGCACAAACACAATGCACACGGCTACTGTACTCACCTGTTGGGATTTAACTTTAATGAACAGAATATATCAAATGAATCTACTCTTTAAAAAAACCGCGTGAAAAGAAAAATAACACTTAACAAAATAAGTTGATATTAACATAAATAAAAGAGGCTCAGCTGCGAAAGCTCATTCATGAGATGAGTATCAAGACTCATCCTTCCACAGCTCAGTGCACAAATCGGTGTCTATGGTAAGACAGAGCAATGGATTGTGTGCCACAATGGGGAGATGTTATCTCCCTCACCTGGTGTACAGGAGGATCTGGGTTTTATCTGATGTTAGCTGTAATTTTGGAGTTTGCGTCTCTCTACTCTCTCTCTACGCGTGGTCGCGTGTATTTTTCTCCGGGTCCTCCGGTTTTTCCTTTCACATTTAGAATCAAAATCACAAGTTTAGAGTACTTGGCTGCAATACATTTACACCTGATAACCCACTTAATTGCGCAATCATTTGTGCCAGGTAACTTCTGAAAAAGAGCTCAGTGGGCTTTACCTGGTAAAATAAATTGTAGTTGTAGATATTATGTGATGTTCTGTAATTATCCCAATGTTATGAGTTGCTTGAATGTCATTGTGGCATCTGAGATGGAATTTGTCACAGACTCCCCTGACCCATCATGGAATCTTGACGCTTTTGTTTGCAGTGTGAATTTATCACCCATTCTACCTTCATCCAACACCCACTGTTTGCGATGTCACCGTTTCTCACCTGGAGATTTTTGTGCCGACTAATCACCATTCAAAGCCTCACCGACTGCTTATAGCAAGAACGGCAATCGGCGTGCACCATTAAGTGGCACCAATATCACAACGACGCTTGGTGACGTCACCATCGCTATCCATTCCCCCCACACACAGTTTAACCCGTTTGTGCAATTGGCGTCAAGTCATGAAATTAGTCAATCGAGTGTTGATCCCTAGGTAGAGCAGTGTCAGAGAACGGCCCACGGAAGTAGACATCAAAGAGCCACCTCTGAGAAACCTTCAAAGTGGAGACCTCTGGTCCACGGGCACAGTAGAAGGCAGTACTTTACCCATCCACTTTGCATATGAGAGTAATGTTCGTTGCACAAGAATCAACTGGTGTTGTGTGTTTTTTTATTACTTCGGGGAGATGTAATGTAGTCAAGTTATGTGGCGAATTCCTACGTGATGGGTATTTTTTGTGCAGTTATTGGTGACTGTACATAGCTGACATCGCGAACACTAAAATCATACAGATGGTAAATATTTCACAAATTAAAAACTTATTTAGTTTAATAACATCCAATAAGTATGCTGTGCTGTATTCACGAGTGCATTCTACTGCACTGCTAATCACTCAGCCATTTCTGTGACCAGTTACAAGCTAATCACTCAGCTATTTCAATGCTAAATTCTATGCTAATTCCTTTGTCAAAGAGTGCCTCTGCGGATGTGTATACTTTAACTAGCTATTTCAATGCTAATTCCTTTGTCAAGGGGTGCCTTTGCGGATGTGTATGCTTTAACTTTAACATAGCCTTTTCTGTGACCAGTCACAAGCTAATCACTCAGCCATTTCAATGCTAAATTATATGCTAATTCCTTTGTCAAGGTGCTTTGTTTCTTCTCACACAGCTTAAAGGTCGTGATCTCAGCGTGGCTTTGTCACTCCAGCGCTGTCCTCCAGACAGTCTCGTCCCCTTCACCTGAAGAAGGCCGCTTGTGTTGTGGCCGAAACGTCGTGAGAATATTATTGTGTTATTTTATTTTATCAATTTATTATTTTATTCTCATTCTACGTGACTTTACCGAAAGAACCAAAGAAGATGAATCCTTGCAGTCACGAAAGCTTTAAATCAGCTGAAGCCTCCCACGCATCACGCGACTTCTGTGTGGCCACCCCGACTCTGAAATCCTCCCCTCTCATCTGTCGATCTCTATCTCTCTACCTCAGTGGTTCTTAACATTCACTGCAGCCTTGCACCCATTTGGTTCTCAATCGTTAACACAATTACAATGTTAATTAATAAATAGGGTTTGATGAAACAAAGCAGTTGTGCTTACGTACCTGTACTTAATTTGTTTTTTATTTACTTTAATAAAACCCGGCCATGTATTGCACCCCCAGGAGGTGTGTGATGTAGTTTTGTTTGCATTTTCACCACAAGTATTGTGGTTCATGCAAACATGATTCCTCGTAATATGTTTCAGTTTTGTTGCATAAAAAAAGGGAAAAACACGATTTTATATTTAGGTACTGGCAAAGGAGATCTAATGATGTAGACACACTGAATGTCAAAGCCAATGCAGCATCTGCTCGTATAATTTTCAATGCTACTGACATGTGAATCTCCCAGAAGGTAATGGGGCCTGGTGAGTTCTGTAATAAATACAGTTGTTTTTGTTTGTAGGGACTGATATATGAAGGCAGTGGTTCATAACCTTTACTGCAGCTTTGCACCGATTTGGTTATCAATCGTAAAAAAATGTACAATTTTAATAAATACATTGGGGTTGATGAAACAAAGTAGTTAAGTTACTTACGTGTCCGTTCTTAATTTGTGTTTCAATTATTTACCTTCTATAAAACCTGGCACGTCTCGCACCCCCAGAAAGGGCATCTCACATCTCAAGGGGATGCATGGACCCCAGGTTATAAACTATAACTGTATTAAGGGGTCGTTGTGACTGCTTATCTATATTGTTACTTTTAATCTTCCGTGTAATCAAATAAGGCGAGGAATCTGGTGCCGTCTGTAAGCGATGTTTTTTTACGCTAAAGCTCTTAATGAGGTGGCCAATAGGAGATGCGTAGGTCGTGAACAGCACGAGGCTGAGGTCAGAATCGTGAGAGACTCTCCATGGGAGCTCGGTTTCCGCAGACAAAGACTCCCCGCTTTGACCGAGAAACTCAGGCAGCCTGTGCAGTCGGACGTCATCTACCGTAGGGCTGGACCGCTGATAATGAAGTGACATTCCAGGAGGCCAATGAAGGGAGGAGAGTGGCTAACAGTGACCATGGTGAAGAGATGT